AGCGCAGGTTGTGTTCTACCATATAACTTGGTCAATTTTCTTTAATTTACGCCCCTCTTATGTAGATTAACAACTTCCTTTTATTAACCTTCAAGCTTCTTATAATCTTTATGAGTGTAGATTAGAAAGTGACTCAGGTGAAAGATACTAGTTATTATGGACTGACATTAATGTTTATTAATTAAACCTCAAGGCTTTGATGATAAGATTTTCTGTCTGCCCAAATAACCTGTTGTATTGTGACCTCTGAATCATTTTAATATAGGGTATATTTTGAAATCTCGTTTGTCTGTGCGTCATTTCTTGGTTATGTCTTGAAAATGATAGAATTCACTACTCAGTAATGAAGACTGATTTAAAATCAATGAATTATTTCCTGAAATAATCAGGTGGTGCCCCTTTGTTATGCTAATAATTACGAGGTATTTATGATATAGCATTGTCCATAACATCGACAAACCGCATATCCCCTACAGCAGTTACCTGTGATGTTATGGGCAAAAAACAGCAAAGATGTGGGAATGCTGGACTTGGGCCCTGTAAAAATTGTTTTGAAGCAAGGCACAATCCCTATTTATCATCCGCAGTACCGTTTAAGGCCTGAAAAGGTTTGAGGGTGTGAAAAAACGATCATGGGTTTGTTAGAAAATGGCGTTCTGGTGCAAACCTCGTCTCCATGGAACATGGCCATCTGTCAGTGCCAAAAGCAAACAAAACTGAATATCATCTCATTCAGGATTTGCGACCAATAAATAAAGTTGTGGTGCCTACACTTTATGACTCTCCAAATCTTTATGTCATGCTGAATGCAATCAGACCAGAACATAGGTTTTTCAGCTGCATAGGTTTGAGCAATGCATACGTTTCAGTGCCACTGCACACTGAGAGTCAGAGCCTTTTTGCGTTTACATACAAATCACAACAATATCAGTTCACTATACTGCCACAAGGGTTTGTGGATTCACCATCTATATTTAACCACATTTTGAGACGAAAATTGCAGGAGTTAACTTTGCCCCCAACTACATTGCTTTTGATGTATGTGGATGACATTTTGGTGGCTGCAGAGGATTCTGACAGCATTTTAGAAGCAACAGACATGGTTCTAAGACATCTGGCGAGGTGTGGTTTTAGAGTTTCCAGACAGAAGTTGCAAGTTGGTCGTGAAAGTGTCACTTTCTTAGGAAGAGTGGTGTCAGGTGAAGGGTTTCAATTGAAAGAAAAACAGAAAACTTCTGTTCTGAGCTACTCGAAGCCTAAAACAGTGAGGGAAATGATGAAATTTTTGGGGTTGGTGAATTATAGCAGACCTTTTGTGCCTGAGTTCAGCAGTAAAGTTGCTCCGCTGAGGGAGTTGATTTCAGCTGCAGGTTACAGGAAGTACTCAGCTCCTTTAGTCTGGTCAGTGGCAGCAGACAGGGCTTTTGTTCAGGTGAAGCAAAGCTTGGCAGGTGCATGTGCATT